AAGCTTTTCTATCAAGACAGAAAAATTCCTACTTGAAAAAGAATTCATCTACAAAAAACAAGAGCAATTCAAAGTAATAATTAAAATGCACAAAGTGATTCAGATTTACCCCAAAACTGACTTTGCAACATTTAATATATGCATCTAAGCTCAGGGACCTCTATAGGAGACCATAGCTGTCGTTAAATCAGACCTTGTAGCACCGTGCAAGAATAAAACCCTTTCATTTGGAAGTTAAATTATTACATGGTGCAGTACTCTGCCATTCTGAAACAATTTCAGGTAATATTTCTGAAACTCCAGCCTCAGAGGTACAGCTGTGACAGAGCTCTTACTGGGAATAAATAATGGTGGCTATATCTAGAAACCAATACCAGCCTACTCCGCCTGATAAATATCCCCTATTAAGAAGCTCCAGCATTTTACAAGCATAACAGATAACTGGCAGCAATCACACCATAATCCATTTTAATTCACATCAAAAAGTGTTTTTTCTCCTTTGAGGGGAGAGTCTTTCTACAGCCAAGTAGTTACAAGCAAAGTTACAGATCTCTGAAAAAACAAGACATATTTCAGCTGAAATACCTGAATTTGGATTATTATATTGTGCTTTCAAACTTATTACAAATTCCTATCTTAAAGTCAGCATGCCTTCACTGAAACATCCATTTTCATCCAAACCAGTCTACAACAGCAAGCGCTTGCTTACCTGGCTGCTGCCCAGGACACAGGGTAGTGATTCAGCAGGGAAGGAGGAAGAAAGGAGGAAGACCTCACCAAGGATGGCTACTTTCCACCAGCCAAGGCTACCAAGACACAGTCACTGCTCCTAAAGAGACACAGCACTCCCGGCTGGTGGGATATCATCCCTTTTATTAACCAACACAGCAGCCCTCAGGCTTTGCAGGTGGCCATCGTTCTGGGGCAAACTCAGCTCAGCTGGTGAGCAAGATGAGATGCCTGAAAGCAAGTGGTGGCTCTCAGGAGCACAGGGCATCTGGAAAGCCACAAAGCAAGAGCAAGAAACACGGGGGGACCCAAGCTGCTTGGTGTAGGACAGTGCCTCTGGTGTTCCTCTGGGCAAAAACCACAGCCCTGCCAACAGAATTATGAAAATAAGTGCTAATATTGTGGCACCTGTGTAACATCAGGGATAAAAAGGCATGAAAAATACCAGAAGGAAGGTGTTTTTCTCTGGAAATCAGAACAGCTTTGTAATCTCGTTATAGCTGATTGCGGAATGATTTGTGCCAGGCGAGAGTGAGTTCAGCGCTGCCCTGACACCACTCCAGGTACTTTATTTACTTGGAGATGAAAGCCATGGCATAAAGCAAAGCTGTATCAGATAGGGGCTTTATCAAAGTATCAGGAATTATTTTCCTTCCCACCTCTATTTTCTGAGGTTAGGAAGAGTGCTTGCAGCAAGGAGTTGTGACTGCTCAGGATCCATCCATTTGATATCCCTCAGTCTCCCCTGGTTTTACACAGAGGACTGAGTTGCCTAACTCAGGGCTCCAGTACGGGTTTGCTAGCAAGGCACCCAAATTCTTCTGTAGCTTTAGCCCTCAACATCCTAATTAAAGAAGCAGCTGCTTTTTATGGTCTTATGTCAGTTTGGAATAATTTTTCTTAGTTATTGAAAACAGCTGCTCTTCTCATTAGTACACTGAGCATCTATTTTCTCTTATACCAGTGTCAAACTGCTTCATTGCAACGCAGACAGGAGACGCTTAGTTTTACAAAATATATCTGTGCTAAGTGGAAGCAGAAGCGAAATGGAACAAATATTTTGGCATTTTTTAGCAGTGGTACCCAATGAGACAAAGTACATCCTCAAACGATTGACTCACTGTTGTTCTGACACGGCATGAAAAATGAGGAAAGCCATATAAAAAGGAGGGCTTTTTTAATACTTCAAAACTTCCCGCAAAACAGTTTGCTTCAGTTAAAAGTTGTTGCAGCAGAACGCTTCACCAAAGAACCCCCACGGCAGTGAGATTGCAAATGCTACTGCAAAAAAAAAAAAAAAAAAAAAGACCTTTTACAATGGAAAATGGCTTGGATTAAAGTTTTCCAGCCAAATGGTCTCGGGGAGGCTACCTGGGAGCAGGCAGGAAAGGGTACAAAGCCCGGTGCTGCAGCAGGTGGAGCAGAGCTGGCAGCGTCTCGCACCCAGCTGGGCAGCAGCTCTGCCCGTCTCCTTCAGTTCAGCCCTCCCGCCGACCCGCTGTGTTTAAAGCTCTGGAACCCTTTGAGCAGGGAGGTTTCGTATGGCCTCTCAAAGACAGAAAAAGCCTATCGAGGCACCAGCCCTGCGAGTCTCTGCTTGTAAAAGGAGGAGGTGTGTACATTTGTTTGTGTTGAAAATCTCAACTAATTTGGGGCAATTTTTGAGCCCAGCTGTGGACTGATCAGATTAAAGGTACTTGGTTAACAAACAACACATGGTTTGGCCAAGATACCATAGTAGAAGAAAAAATAATGTAGAGAAACAATATTTTCCAGGCATTATTGTTAATTCAATTTGATATTAGATAAAGATAACTCCCTCTCTGTAAGATCCATATTTATCTAAACCACCCCTCACTGTGCTTAACACACTCAACTGCAAGATACTTGTTTAATGTATTTTAATTCAATTTTTAAAAAAAAAAACCCTGCTTTTAAAATAAACATCAACACTTTAAATTAAACTAGAAGTACCACTGGCACAGCTATAGACCCTAAGAAACTTATGAATGTGAAGCAGCTGTGTGTTATTTCAGTAACTTGCGTGCTTCTTGCCTTCCCAGACAAGGTTCCAGGCAGAAATCCCTTCCACTGGTATGTAGTTAATGACAAAATATGTCCTTAGCCCAGGAGCCAGTACAGACTGCCATCGCAGCCCTCCCATATCCATATGGGGGTTTAGAAATCAGTGGGATTGTGTCATGTGCATCCCATGTCCTTCCCAGGATCTGCGAGTCTGGACCTTTGCCCAGCCTGAATTGTCTCCAGCTGCTCGTATTAACCTGCTCTCGGAGCACCTTTGCAGATTTAAGCAGCTCAAAGTCTCCTGATCTGGCTGCTCCCTCCATGGGTATATTTTATGCAGAGATTTTTTAGAAGGAAGCAAGCACTCCTCCAGTTTGTATGGTGTTGTCAGCTCCTCTTTTTCCCAGAGGACCAGGCAATTAATTTATGGAGAGGATTAGATCTGAGCAGGTTCTTGAGAGACCCTGAATTTCTGCATTGCTTTCTCAAGAGCATTTGTAGAGGTTATTCATACAAAAAGTGTAAGAAACTTCAACAGGAGAAGAGAAAATTGCTAGTCAGATGTCCATATACCACCATCTGCTACAGGGGCCGTGTGGGAAGCAGCATGAAGGCACAACAAAAGAATTGAGGGTATT